CCTCACCAGGTACCCCGCACCCTCAGCTGAGGCCGCACATGCAGTCCCTCTTAAAGTAAATCTAAATCTAAAACTAAATCTATTTCTATCACTTATTTTCGAATTGATACTATGGAGCTGAGTGTCCATTTATATTCGAATTCGAATTAGGCAATTCATGTTTTTTTTTGACATTACAATAGAATAAATAAATTTATTAAAAATAAAATAAAAAAGAATTTTTTCTTCTGAACGAATTTTTTTCTCAAGATTTAGAATATTAATATATCTTTGCTTTGATTATTTACAAATAATTTTAATATATTTATTTGTCTTTGATGATTTATATTGAAGCCATGTACGAAATAATTATTTTTTAAAAACACTTCGATTTTTTTTAGTTTTTCTATATGATAAAGAAAAATCTTCTGATGATATAAAAGTTGTTGATTTCATTCATTTAATAGATTTACAAGATATTTTAGGTATACAAAAAAGGAATTCTATTAGAGAGTTCTGTTACTTTTATATAGTCTTCAAAGATAATTATTTGTTCTGATTGATATCTAACAACATATTCATTTAAAGATGTCTAAATTAAATAATTTTTTTGCTAATTTGGCCACAAAAAAGAGCATCGAAGAATTTAACCTTAGTTCTTTTTGATTCAACTAGTTGTTTATACTCCACATAACCCCTATCCTCATCTGTTTAAGTTAAGTTTATTTTGTATTGTGGACTAAAGGATGTCGTTGAATTTCAAGAATGATGCAAAACAAATATTATTATGTCTAGAACTCAAAACCATCAGTTTCTTCCAGAAATGATAGTAGTAAAAAAATGAAACCATGATAATTTGATACGTTGATTATCATCTACCTATTCATTTTAATATATTATCTATTTTATTGCGACTTGAACAATCAACAGTGGTAAACGTTGTTTGATTTACTCGAAATGCCTTAATTCCTTGAAAATGAGTATGATGAAAGAGACAAGATGTATATAAAAGTAATAAAAATACATATTCATGTTCATTACATAATTTTTCTTTTCAGTGTATAACACAAAATCAAGAAATGTGATGGTTAAGAGTATATGTTATAAATATGAACGAAAGAGAAAATAAATGGCAGGATGTATGTATATGCTCATAAATTAAATATATAATGACATATCAAGCTAAAAATGTATAGAAGAAATTGAAATCATTGTTTTTAATATTCATAAGAAAAACAACTCGACGCATATAAACTATTCTTAATTAATAAAAACAAAATGCCTAGACAGATAAATATATAATTGTACTAATCTCTTATTTTCCTTTACGCTTTCCATGTGAACGTCTTTGTTTTATTGGTAATTTATCATGTTTATGTTTTTCAATAAGATTTTCAATATATGTATAAACTCAATCAACTTGTTCGTGAGTATCTTTAATAAGTATCTAAACAAACAGATCCAAAATAATTATATGCAATCTTATAAGTTCTTACTATTCGTTTTAAATCAGTTGTTTCACCATTAATATCAACATATGCTCCAATTTTTAATTTAATTCGATCGATACGTGATGCATTAACACCTAAAAAGAGTTTTTTTTGAAAAGAAAATAAATATAAAATAACTTACCAATAATAAATCCAGCATGCATATTACTGATAATCATCTCACGTTGAATAGTTTCTGAACTATTATCTCGAATATGTCGAAAATTCCATCAATCATTATTTTCGTTCGATAAATCATCATCATCATCATCGCTACTTCTAAAGAAAAAAACATAAAAATTAAATTTTATAAATCTAAAACAATATATACAAATATTCTTCATCTTCAGTTAAATGTGATTAAGAATTATGAATAGTTATTGATTTTGTACATATTTTTATAAAACCTTCATAATCTATATTTGTTATCATTATTGCATCAATATCATCACATGATAAATTATCTGAATTATATAATTTAATATTATTATTTAAATAATCATTTTTATTTTTTTTCTTCAATATTATAATATATTTCTTCAATACAATCTTTAATTAAATAACGTTTTTTTTTGCATTGTTTAATAAAATTCTTTCATCAGATTTTGGACATAAATTTGGAAAAACTTTTATGTCATCTAAAAAAAACATTTTGCAAGATGGCGTGATGTTTCACCTAATTCACCCGTTACAAATGATATATTATATTGTAGTATAGCATACGTATTTCATTATTATTTGGAAATATCTTCCAATATAAATCAAATATATGAAGAAATGAATCAAGATCTGATACATCAAATATTAAAACACATTCATTAATTAATTCATTATTATAAGAAGTTAAATAAATATCAGAAAGAGAATTTTTTGCAAGTTCAATTGCATCCATTCGTGATATAAGAAAACGATAATTAATATTTTTATTTGATAAAAATAATTGTTCATTATTTGTAGAAAGATCTGATGAACTAGATATTGTTCGAGGTGTATTATAAAGATAATGTGTTGTTGGAAAAGGTAAATCATTTTATTTTATTTTATTATTATTAGAATTAATTGTAAATTCACCATTTAATTTAACTGAATTAGAATTTAAATGAAATGAAAATGCTAAGAAAAAAATAAATAAATAAATAAAATTTTTTAAGAAAATTTTATTTACATTGTAAAAGTTGTACTTCAGATAAGGTTTGTTCAATTCTTTCTTGAATAATATCAATTTCTTCATTTAATTTTTCTTTTTCAAGTTGATTTTCTTGTTCAATTAAAAGTGCATTTGTAAATGAAGCAAAATAATGAACATCATCATAACCTACGATTCAAAAGTATCCGCATAAATGTACGAGCATGCTGTGAAACAAAGATTCGGCCAATTTTCATTGTTTACCTTTTATTGAAAAGAGCATGGAAAATCGTATATAAAACAAGGTAATAAAGACCATAAACTCTATGCCTCCAAATTTGCAAAGTCCTTCTTCGAATACTCAGAATCATAGGTGTAACCACATCTTGATTCAGTTCTTTTGTCTTGAAAATCATTCTTTTGACTTAATGATTGAAATTTTTTGCCTGCCATGCTCCATTGTAGACCTTCTGTTCTAATAATAATCAAATTGTTTCAATAGGAGGTATCTGAGAGACTTTCAAAGAATTCTAATGACGTTAAACATAACTGATGTTTATTGTCTTTGAGAAATTGTTGAACCTATTCTGAATAATGGGATGTAATCAGATCTTATTCAAATAAAATATTATCATTTTTATGATCATGCCCAATGAACATACGTGAAATTATTGATTAGTGAACTCTGAAGCTTTGTCCAAGGCGGTGCTAGCTGACATCAGCCTTTTCATTAGCGCTTCTTACCAGTGTTCTTTCTTCTTTATCAGAAATTTTAGGTGGTGGACGAAATTTTGGCTTAAAAAAATTTTTATTTCATATTAATAATACTTTTTCAAAATATCATAGATCTTTTGGCGTGAAACTCTTCGTTTTACAACGTGAGAAACGTTGACTCGCATCATAGAACCAATATAATTAACATGCAACATTTACAAGTAATTTTCGAAGCTCTTCATGTGTTCATTGTCTCCGTCTTATTTTAAATTATGAACCAATAAGTCATATATGATTTGAAATAGCTCATTTTGCTTTATCTGAAGATATATTATCCCAAATTTTGTGATGCATTCTTGTTACGCAATGCCATCAGACATTTGTGCGGATACTTTTGCACCGTAGGTTATATTTTATTCATATCAATAAGAATATTTTCATACATTTAAGCAATTTTTAAAGTAAGATTTTTATATCATTCATGTAAATCTGGGGTGTGGGTGTGGGTGTGGGTGTGAAGTGTGGGTGTGGGTGTGAAGAGGGTGTGGATTTGGGTATGGGTGGGTGTGGGTGTGGGTGTCGGTGTGGATGTGGGTGTGAAGTGTGGGTGTGGATATGGGTGTGGGTCTTCTCTTGATGCACGCCCACACCCACACCCACACCCACACCCGGTTTGATCATATAACAAATGAATAAAATTTATTAGGAACACAAAAGTTTTTGGCATTATCCTTCTAGAATGAAAATGTGACATTCCAAAAAGTCGCTTTCCAAGTAATAAGAAGTGTATGATACGAGACTTATGTCAATAGGTAGAGTCTGCTGAGATTAGAAAAAAATCTATAATGATTCGTACCTGTGTTCTTCCTGAGATGAAAGATTTGCAAGAAAACCAGATTCTTCTGAATCTTTTTTAAAATATGTACATTCGTTAAGGTTATGATGTTTCTAGATGAAACTTTTGGTGTATGATAATACTCATATGAATTCTTTATATGAGCAAAATTTCAAGTCAAAATGACGAAATTGCATTTATTATGACCAACCCTGCATTAAACTAGAAAGTAAGGAGAATGGTGATATTTTGAAAAGAAAGCAACAGGGGCACGAATCATTACAGGTTTTGCCTATCCATGTTACACGTCTCTTCGCTCTCCCGTCGGTTGAATACCGATATATCGATGGGCTTTTGTCACTAACGGCAAACGTCATCGGTTAACCGTCTGTGTAGCACACATTATACCGAACAGTCTACGGTGGGTAGTCTCGGTAGATTCTACCTAATGACACAAATCTCGTCTCAAAAGCTTCTTATTAATTTGAATATGAATTCATATGGAATGTAACAATTGGTGATTTTTAAGACAAAGGAATAAATGTTATTCTTAGACTTTTTAGTCAGAATGAAATATTTACTGATGTATGAAAAGATTAGATTCAATTTTAAAATCCAGACGGCTACTCGACCGAAGTGCGACAATAGAAGGTAGCTGACTGCACGAACCACGAATACCTTAATACGTGATCCTATATGCTACAATTACTAACTTCAAAATCTGTTTCATTCGCATCCGTATTCTATTTAATATGTTCGGTTTTATTCAAATGTTTTCTGTTTTTTCTAAGTTAAAACAAATCCTAATCTTAATTCTCTTTAAATATGTCCTTGGTGCGTTACTAATATGAAATGAAAATGAAAAATTATTTCTCATATTCTTTTTTTTTCGTCTATCTATTGATTATTATCGTCTCTCTTGTTCTGGATAGATATCAGCTATGCCAAAAACTTGTCTAGACGTTTGAGAGTTCGTCTTGGATTAATTCGAGTCACACAAGACTATAGTTTAAAGTATATATGCATTTACCATCTAAGATATGAATATTAGCTTTAAGATTGCATCACGCATCCAATACAAAAAATCTCTCAGCTGCTAATTATCGATTTCTGCATATTTGTTTCTTCTGAATGTCGCAGAATTTGGACAAAAATGGATTCAGATATGCACTCACCACATTTACACAATCTCAGCAAGCTCTTTTTCGATTCGAAATGATGACTAGATTAAGGCCACTTACTGCATCTAGTGCAACAACTGATTTATTATATTTCATTTGCTTAGGTGCTAATTAATCAATAGCTCAACTATTGAAAGCTAAGCTCGATTAAGAAAAGAACATGAGTTATAACGAACAAAATAGTTTTCGAGGTTGAAATTATGTGTATTGCTATATGCTTTTTCTTTGAAAACCATTCGTAACAGTTCTTGATATAAGATAAGCAACGGTTTATGCGTTATGTTCGATTTTTTTTTACAATTTTTTTTATATATCGGTAAGGCTGACAAGTATTGCTTTTTGTTGTGTTTATTTTAACACATAGTATCTATTCATACCGAGGCATTTCTTGTATATATTCTGTTGCAAATTGAATGATGAAAAATGTCTTAGCGATGAAAGGTGATATTATTTTACAAATAATTCTTATTGATTTCGTTCAAGATACATTCGTACGTATTATATATGAAGATAAATTTTGTGCAACTTCTAACAGAAGTACTGAGTTTATAATAGCTATTTACTGAATCAGTGCTATTAATATGCTTGAAAAGTTCCCTCCGTGCATAGACATTTGGAGGAATTCTTAATGTATCTGAGGGGATGTTTTCTCATTACAAGACTTTCTGTATTGAAAGTATTTTCTCAGGATAGTTAACTGAGAATCCTGAAGCATCTGATTTGTAACTCCTCAAAAGTCCATTGGATATTATAAGTGCAGTACTTCCACTAAAGACAATCACCGTCATACACAGTTGTCAAGCTTCATCTTTGTTTTTAGGATTAAAACAGTTGAACGATATATATAAATAGAAGTGTGCGACTTCTCTACAATTGAATCTGTATGAAGTACTTATAAGATCTCGTGTTTGCCTTTTGCATTATCTTTATCTGAAAGTCAGTTTCATTTAGATTTTGAAACTAAAATAACAACACCATGAATAATTCGTTTTACATTTTGAAAGTAATAGCAGTTCAAACTCGTCGCTCAATCAAAAAATTTGTAAATATCGATCGAGAATACATGAAATATGCTCGATATTCTATAAAAATTGCAAAATATTTATTTTTTTTGTTATTCTCTAAAAAGTATTTTTGTTTCATGTAACTTAAATTTTTTTATTTCTCTGCACAATATTTCTTTCACTGTTACAAAACTCTATCTCCTTTTATAGCACTTGCTTTTAGTGTTAATTATTTGTCCTTCTTTCTAGTCACAAGTGCATAGATGACAGTTGTTCTTTCTTTTTGATGCTTCTAACGACAGTTTTAACAAGCAGAGGCAACATGTGTATCGAACATCTGTGACTTTCGATATAAGCGCTGTTTCACATTGTCTTAAAAAAAGTAGTATGCATGCAGTACACTTTACTCAATAGAATAACACTGCCTGTAGGATATTTAGATGAATTTTTAAATGAAAAAAGAAAACAAATGTAACTTATTCTATTATTTTAGAATACTTCGCTTATTTTCTTCTATTCTTCAATTTCTCTTTGGTTATATGAGTCAAAAAAAGATTCGAATCTTTTTTCGATTATCACCTGTCTTATTATCGAAAGAAACTGGTTGTTAAACAAAAAAGTAGAATATTTTTTCGTATTTTCTTCTTAATACATTATTTAGTAGAACTTCATTATTTCTTTCTGTTTTTTGTTATTCAAATTATATACTTCTTTTTTAATGTTCTACCTCGACTCTGTACCAGTTACATTCGCTTCATTATTGACTCAATATGTGTGAGTGCTTGTTCAAGAAACCTTAGTTAAATATTTTTTAAAAACTTCATCTACATCAAGCACAATGTGTTACACCTTCAAGAAGTTCAGTGG